GAGATATACAGAGCAAGCCGGGAAATTCTCACAGGCTGGCAAGATTTCGGTTGAGCAGCTAGCCGCTGCTTTCTCACACTTGGGCCCGCATGCCGTCGATACCTCGTCACTCAAAGAAGTTCCCATCTTATATCACCCACTTCTGCCAGGTAGATGCCCGAAACGAGATAACTTAAGACGTAGAATATTTTCTAACAAATTCGCTTAAGGCCTCCTCATAGTACCGGATTTGGTTCCTCCAGAAGTACAGAAGACCCTGCTCTCATTGATGATCAACCGAGATCTCAGCGTCCCAACACACCAAACCAATCTTCACATGCACTATGACCTCCCCTACCCAAAGGCCCAAGACGGATCCGCCGAATCCTTCTTCTCATACCCGCCCGAGCCAATGCCCATATTCACCCCAAAGGACCCCTCCGTCCACAAGCCTCTATCGATCAAGCAGGTCATGGAGCGCCGTCTTCACTGGGTCACGCTAGGCGGCCAGTACGACTGGACGAACCGCATCTACCCAGAAGAGCGCCCGCCACAGTTCCCGTCCGACATTGCCAACTTTCTCGAGACCATCTTCCCCGAGACCCTGGCCCAGGCCGCCATCGTCAACTTCTACACGCCCGGCGACACGATGATGATGCACCGCGACGTCAGCGAGGAGACGGACAAGGGTCTCGTTAGCCTGAGCTTCGGCTGCGACGGCCTCTTCATGATTGCGCCCAACGAGCCGGACAAGATCTCGGATGAGGCGAGGGCGACGGGGAAGGAGTACCTGCTTCTCCGCATCCGCTCCGGCGACGCCATCTACATGACCAAGGACTCACGGTTTGCGTGGCACGGCGTGCCCAAGGTCATGAAGGGTACTTGCCCTGATTACTTGGCTGGCTGGCCGGCAGAAGATGGAAAGTACGAACAGTGGAAGGGCTGGATGCAGAACAAGAGGATCAACCTCAACGTAAGACAGATGAGGGACTGATGCCAAAAACCATCGACCCAAAGACAAAAAAACGAGAAAACAATGCAAAAAGGTGATTGCGTACTACCTGAATTACTCAATTTCTTTTTAGTTCCATGATTATATCCTGGCCCCAATCACTGCACAGTACACACGGTTCACCAGTCCCAGACTTTATGAGTGCACCAAAGAAGCCTCAAACAAACCCCTCAGCTGCTCCCTCTCCTTCTGCAACTCCGTCTCCAACCCAGGCGCCAGCATCAACACTCTAGCCTGCGGGATCGTACCCTCGACAAGGTCGTCCAAGTGTTCCGTACCGAAGCCCAATTCCTTGATACCGGCCGGCTGATCACCCAGGTCCGCCAAGAACTTGGTCAGCGCGTCGGCCAGGACCTTTCCGGCGTCCTCCTTGCGCACGCGCGAGACGTCGACGCCAAAAGCCTCGGCCGCCTGGAGATGACGCTCAGGGTTGGAGGCGCCCGTGAAGCGGAACACGGCGGGCGCTGTGACGGCCACGGAAACCCCGTGCGGGATGATGGGGTAGGAGACCTTGTATCCCGCGTGCTGGTAGCCCGGGTTCTGGCCCGAGATGGGGTATGACATGCCTGTGTTATCTCACATTAGGGGAGGAATTTTCGTAAGGGGTGTACTTTGAGGAACGTACCGTGGCAGAGATGGACGCCGGCATTGCCGAAACCGACACCGGCGAGAGTCGCGGCGAGCAGCATCTCGCTTTGCGCCTCATAGTCGTCGGGGTTCTTGACGGCACGGGGCAGGTACTTCACCGTGGCTCTCAGCGCATGGAACGAGAAGACGTCACTAATGGGGTTGGCGCCCTGGTACGCGGGTCTCAAAATGGGGTTCTTGGGCCGGGGCGTACGCTCGTGGTAGGGGATCGCCGTCCACGATTCCAGGGAGTGGCAAAGTACGTCAAGCCCGGAGGCGGCTTTCACGGCCGAGGGCATCGTGCGGGTGTTGAGCGGGTCACAGATTCCGAGAGTGGGCTTCAGATTGCGATGAGCGACGCCCGTCTTGGCGCGCTTGGAAACTAGGTCGAAGATGGCGGTGCCCGTGGTCTCGGAGCCCGTTCCCGCGGTGGTGGGCACGGCAATCAGCGGCTTCAAGGCCTTGTCCACGGGGCGTCCGTTGCCGAGGGGCGCGTTGACGAAGTCGAGGAAGGGAGCCTCGGGGTAGCACGAGTACAGGTTCATCAGCTTGGCGGTGTCGATGACGGAGCCGCCGCCGACGGCGAGGAAGGCGTCGGGCGCAAAGGGACGGGCCCAGTCAATAGCCTCGCGGATGCTGCTGTCCTTGGGCTCTACGCGGGTCTGGTTGTAGACCTTGTAGTTGATGCCCTCGCGGTCGAGGGCTTCGCGGACCTGCTGCATGGCGAAGAGGCCGTCGACGACGGGGTCCGTGACGACGGCCACGCGCTTGGCGCCCATGTTGGCAAAGTCCATGCCGACTTCTTGCGTGGAGCCGGGGCCGAAGCGGATGGAGGAGGCGGCCATCTCAAAGGCGTACTCCTTCTGCGGGCCATCTACGGGGGTAGCGTAGCCGCGTTTGTTGCTCGTCCGGAGGGGCCTCGGTGTGAAGTTCAAAGGGTTGTGGTGGTGGTGATGGCCGGGGTTGGTATGGCAGGGGCATGATGGCGGATGTGCCTGGATTGTCCGCAGGAGGGATACGGCACGAGACGCCGCCTGTGATCTTGTGTGAGTGAGGGATCTGTCTCGAGAGGGGAGCAACTGCTTACGTTGGGGATGACCCGAAGTGAGGGCGTCATGGTTAATTGTGAAAGAATATGTGAGCCGTCAATGGAATGGTTGCACCGGATAGTCTATAAGATGACGGCTGATAGGACGCTTCACTCTACGCAAGATGTGAGAAAACAGGAGAGAAGGTGTGTGATGAAGCTGCTGCAATGCTATGTGAGAGAAAGCGATGTCGGATTCGAAGTCCCGCGCCTCCTCCGCACAGGGCTCTCAGACTGGACAGGGAGCTTGGTAATGATGGTCACTCCGGGGGTTGGAGCAGCTTCCCCGCATTCGGACCCCACTTGCCGGCCGAGCGATCTGTGTGTGGGGCCCGTTTGCCGAGGTACATGTACCTGATTACCTCCCTTTTCCGTCCGCATTGGTTCATCACCTTATTTTTGGCCCATTGAGTACAGTATTTATCTTTGAAAGATGCCTGGTTCTAGGCTGCTGTCGACGGCCCATGGAGGGATTTAAACACCGTCAGCATTGAACGTCAGAAACGCGAGTACACACGGATGGTTAGCCCGCGCTGACACCGCAACGTAAGCGGAGTTACGTCCACAGTGAGGTAGCGGCACCACTTGTACCAAATCCACCTGCCCAAAGAAGCTGGCCGAAGGAAGTGAAACCACGCGCGATCTCCAGGCATTCGTAAAAGTTCTGGCTCGGACTTCGTTCGACAACGCAATTGGCCAATGGATCCATGATGATATCCTCTCATGCTGATGCGGCCTAAGTCAATTGGTGGATGCCATTCGATCCTTCATCGGCGAAGAAAGAAATTGGAACTCAAACGTTTACAAGATTGCGACACGCCACTTACGTTTGTTGACCACGATGCTTCTACGATTGCGAAGATGTATAAAGACTGTGGTTGCGGCTCTATAACTGGAACCATGAGAACAGAGTTGTCTGACTTCTCACTTTCAACTTCCACTCTACAGCAACTCAACTGATTCCACAAGATGGCTACACAATCAACTCCTCGCGGCCGCATCCGCGATGTCCTACCCAACCTCGACCTCGGAAGATGGCCGGCGGGACCCAAGAACTCCATTACCGATGTTCCCGGCGTCCTCGCCTCAACGCAGAGCATTCGCACAGAGGAGGGAGTCAACACGGGCGTAACAGTCATCCTCCCCCGCCAGGAATGGTTCAAGGAAGCCTGCTACGCCGGCATCTTCCGCTTCAACGGCTCCGGAGAGCTGACCGGATCCCACTGGATTGAGGAGACTGGTCTCCTCGCCAGCCCCATCGTGTTAACCAACTCCTTCTCGGTGGGCGACGCGTACCGCGGCATCTACGAGTACGCCATCAAGCATTACTCCAACGAGAACGGGGAAATCGAATGGTTTCTGCTGCCTGTTGTCGGCGAGACCTTTGACGGGTTCCTCAACGACATCTCCAAATTGGCTGTAACATCCGCACACGTCGCAAAGGGAATCGAGTCCGTGACGGATGACCCCGTGCCCGAGGGCAACACGGGCGGCGGCACGGGCATGATCTGCCACTGGTTCAAGGGCGGCACCGGATCCTCGTCCCGCGTCGTGCCCGGGATCGACAGCGAGGGCAAGGAGACGAGCTACACCGTCGCCGCCCTCGTGCAGGCTAACTACGGCAGGGCGGCCCACCTCCGCATCGGCGGCTTCCCCGTCGGCCGCACTCTCGCAAAGGAGAAGAAGGACACGCTGGCCGAGGTCATGGCGCACAAGGATAAGAAGGACGGCTCCATCATCGTCACCATCGCCACCGACGCGCCCCTGACGCCCATCCAGTGCCAGAGGCTCGCCAAGAGGGCCACCGTAGGGCTGGCGCGGGTCGGCGGCTACGGGCATAACCCTTCGGGCGACATCTTCCTCGCCTTCTCTACGGGCAATCGCATCCCCGTGCAGACGCTGACGACGGAGACGCAGGAGGTGGACCCGTTCAAGGCCAAGGCGCTCAAGGTTGAGTCGGTTGACGACACGAGTATTAATGCGCTTCTGGAGGCGGCGGCGGATGCGACGGAGGAGAGCATCTACAACGCCTTGTCTTCGGCCGAGACCTTGAAGGGCTTTTTGGGACACACAGTTGAGGAATTGCCTCTGGATCGTTTAAAGGAGCTCATGCAGAAATACGCATATGATTCGTAGGAATTTAGCTTGTCTACCCAGCGAAATAATTGCCCACTTCTTGTATCATTTCGGTGGCTAACGCAGTCTCCTTTCCCCATCCAATCCTCGTGTGTGTCTTTCCTGGAGTGATTGTATCCGGATCCATCGATTGTGCCTCACTTTCTCCTCACGAAGCGTCTATTTAGACTTTGCCACCCCTTTCCCCTTGCCGACTAGAGTATCATGTAGCGCTTGAGGTAGAGGGGCCTTCATGGCCGCGAGGAAAGTGTTTGTCCCCACCAAGAGCGCCTCGTATCCTGTAGTGTCGATGTACTCCTCGGTTTGCAAGGTCAAATCAAGCAAATTGTCGGCTAGATCGTAGACTTCCACGATGGCGTCTCTGAGCTCCTCCCAATGGGCCCTCCAGATCTCTGGGGTATTATGGACACTCAAGGGGCGCGCGACGATGTTCAGCCTGCTGAGGAGGCTAAAGAAAGCGTCGAAGCTGTGGATAAAGGCATTGCTATTCTCATGTTAACCTGTGTAAGCTAGAAACACTTCCTTCTGAACGTTGACCTACCGAGTCTCGGAGAGTCGATTGATGGCCTTGATGGCGAGTTCATTGATTTCCCGCTCCGAGAACTCGGATGGACCCCTGCTGTCCGCGCTTTCTTGGATGGCCGCCTTCTTGACTGGGGATGATCCAGATGACATGGCGAACTGTTGCGATAGCTTTGCTCGATGTTGAAATTGGGGTTGGTCGGTTGGGTTTTGATGGTGTTGTGAACAGACGCAAGGCCTATACTGAGATTGGAAGCAAATGCCAGAAATGAGTAGGTAGCAAAAGAAGGAAACCATAGACTTGCTCTGAATTTTTGGGACTTTCCTGATGTTAAGTACGTAGCATTAAGGCATTAGACTAGGAGGGCAGGTTCCGTGAGCATCGTGATGGAAGCAGTGAGGCGTGTGATATTGTATTCTCAATGAGATGGGGGCCACGCAGAACATTCTCGCACTGTCAGAGTATACGATACCGTTGAATAGAAGAACTTGGCGTTCTTCAAAGTAGCTTCTCTTTGTAAGCGAGGAGTTACTAGAGACTGGTATACAATATTTGTTTCTTTCATTAGAGGACATGTCGTAGAAGTCGGTCGGCAAAGTGTGCGGTTGAATGTCATACGTCTCTCGTCTATCATTCCTGAATTTCGACCTATCTGATCCAGGGACTCTGGCTTGGTTATTCTGTGATTTAAAGGTCATGTACAATTTGTATCCATACGCATATCTTGTTCGTGCTAGATACCTTAAGCCAGTTTCAAGACTCAGCTCATGTCCAGATGCTGCCAATCCCTTCCATCCTCCAGACCCTGAGAAAGGACTGCTTTCAAGACACATATATATTCATAGCAGTAGTGTTTTACGAAATTATCAATGACTTGAGGTTCAAATGTATCCGTCTTGGACTCGTCCTCATGCGGCTGTAGCTGGTGTCTGCTCATTTGACTGACTGTGGCATACAATAGTCATGATGACGGGCGAAGAATGAACTCATAGATATCATATGATGCATTTGCCAGGTGTACTTACACCCATGTATTACGCTCTGATGTATTGCAGAATAGTTGACCGTGGGGCTTTGCATCCGTCTGGCTAGGTCAAGCCAAATGACAACGCATCGTTGGAATAGGATAATCATTGAACAAGACACATCTACCTCAGAGATTTCAGTATCTACAGAAGCACGCAAAGTATACTAGACCACCTCTCTGAGCCCTGGGACTTAAGTGAGACCGCTCTTGCAGCATCGTGGACTCCATTCAGGGGCTCAGGGGTAGCAGTGCGAGAATACAGTGCTGAGGTTATCGTGGCACAGCCCGCCTGGCAGGGAAAGCACCCCTCCCCCCGCAGGTCGCTCTGCCCCTCCATCGAAGGCGGTGAGTCAGGGCAAATGAGTCAATGGCACTACCCCGCCGTAGCCAATGCACTGCTGCCCCTCGTCCTGGCATTAAATAATTTTGACTGGTAAAACTTCGATCGCGAGACGCAAGACAAATTTGGTGAGTTAACCTCCGTTCCCTGATTTAACGACGGGAATTCCCCCGCACACCCTCCCCCAGATTCTGTTTCCTGACAAACATCTTGTGGACACAGCAAACCGCAATCATGGCCGACTCAAGTGCTCCCGAACCCCCCACCGAGCAGGTCAAGGACCTCAAGGTCGAGGAGACTGCCAAGCTTCTCAAGGATGAGGTCACCGGCGAGATGGTCTCCAAGACGGAGCTGAAGAAGCGCCAGAAGGCCCGCGAAAGAGAGGCTGCTAAGGCTGCGAAGGCCGCCGCTGCCCCTCCCAAGCCTGCTGCTGCCAAGAAGGGCAACGCCGAGGCCGACGAGAAGAACCTGGACCCCAGCCAGTACTTCGAGAACCGATCCCGCGCCATCAACAAGTGCGTATTTCCCACGGAGACGAAGAAGCGGTTGTATGGGCTGACAATATGACGATAGGCTGCGCGAGACCAAGTCTCCCAACCCTTACCCCCACAAGTTCCACAGTGAGATCTGCAAACGCATTCATCCCTGAACCTCTATACTGACATTGATGCAGCCGACTACGACTTGCGCAACTTTGTCAAGGACTTTGGTCACCTCAAGTCTGGCGAGCATGACAAGGAGAAGGTCGTCCGCGTGGGCGCTCGTATCTACAACAAGCGTGCCTCCGGCAACAAGCTCTTCTTCTACGATATCCGTGCCGAGGGCGTCAAGGTCCAGGTCATGGCACAGGCGCAAGAGGTTGCAGAGGGAAGCCCGTCATTCGAGGACCAGCACATCCACCTCCGCCGAGGCAAGCATTGAGTTTTCTGTCTGAGTGAGAAGCATGAAATACTGACCGCGCATAGGTGACATTGTTGGTATCATTGGATACCCCGGCCGTACTGCACCCAAGTCCAAGATCGAGAAGGGCGAGGAGGGCGAGCTCTCCATCTTCGCGACCGAGTTCATTCTCCTTACCCCCTGCCTGCACACCCTTCCCGACGAGTACTACGGCTTCAAGGACCACGAGGAGCGCCACCGCAAGCGCTATCTTGATCTCATCATGAACGACAAGAGCCGCCAGATCCTTATCGCAAGATCCAAGATGGTCACCTACATCAGACGTTTCTTCGACGACAGGGACTTCATCGAGGTCGAGACGCCTATGATGGGTCCCATCGCTGGAGGTGCCACCGCTGCCCCCTTCAAGACCCACCACAACGACCTCGACATGCAAATGTTCATGAGAATCGCTCCTGAGCTCTACCTCAAGGAGCTCGTCGTCGGTGGCCTCCACCGCGTCTACGAGCTTGGTCGTCAATTCAGAAACGAGGGCATCGACTTGACGCACAACCCCGAGTTCACCACCTGCGAGTTCTACCAAGCCTTTGCCGACGTCTATGACATCATGGACCTGACCGAAGAGCTCGTGAGCGGCCTTGTCAAGCATGTCACTGGCGGCTACAAGACCAAGTTCCACACCCAGCACGGTGAGGTCTACGAGGTCAACTGGGAGAAGCCCTGGAAGCGCTTTGAGATGATTCCCGAGCTCGAGAAGGCCACGGGCGAGAAGTTCCCTCCCGCCGACCAGCTCCACACTGCCGAGACCAACGAGTTCCTCCAGAAGGTCCTCAAGAAGATGAACCTCGAGTGCTCACCGCCCCTGACCAACGCCCGCATGATCGACAAGCTTGTTGGCGAGTACATTGAGGAGCAGTGCGTCAACCCCTCCTTCATCTTCGGCCACCCGCAAGTCATGAGCCCTCTCGCCAAGTACCACCGCGACATTCCCGGTCTGTGCGAGCGCTTTGAGGCCTTTGTGTGCAAGAAGGAGATTGTCAACGCCTACACCGAGTTGAACGATCCCTTTGACCAGAGACTGCGCTTCGAGGAGCAGGCCCGCCAGAAGGACCAGGGTGACGACGAGGCCCAGCTCATCGACGAGAACTTCTGCATGTCTCTTGAGTACGGTCTGCCGCCTACCGGTGGCTGGGGTATGGGTATCGACAGAATGGTCATGTTCTTGACCGACAACTACAGCATCCGTGAGGTGCTTGCCTTCCCCTTCATGAAGGAGGAGAAGCAGGGCGAGAAGAAGGCCTCCGCGGCTGAGGTCGTCGGCGTCAAGCCTGTTCCCGAGGAGGGAATTGGTAAGTTTTGCTTTTCCGCTGTAACGAATTTCGACTAATAATGCATCACAGCCCACAAATAGAGAGTTCTCAAGATGGCTAGGATCGGATGTCAAGACGAATCGCCCTGTATGATTGTCTACAAGTGACGCACGCGGAGAAGATAAAAAGAGAAAGTGTACGCCCCCAGTGATATCCGGCAGACGTTCCATAGTCTAGAGTTGAGCTTCTATTAAAAAAAAATGAACAAAATGTTTTTGAATGGGGTAGATTCGAGGTACACAATGACCGCCTCAAAGGGCTGGCCGTGTCCATCCGTTGTTGCTACAATGTTATACATATCTACTTGCTTTTGTGTGTATCGTACGTGCCATAATGCAAAAAATGCTGTCGCTGCCATAATGCAGTTAAACCAAATAATGTAAAACTGTAACTCTGTAGGGAGTAAGTCGCAAGCCATTGGGAGAGTGGACTCGGGCCTAGGAACGCCTGCTGTACTTGATAGCCTTCGCCTTGGCCTTCATCCGCTTCTGGATCATGGCCAGGGTTGACTTTGGCACGCGCAGACGGTGTCCAAGGACCAAGGCACCAGAGAGCAGCGCCAAGGCGCCGGCCTGGTGCGCCGCGGCCAAGGGCACGGGGACGATGTAGATGAGGGTGCTGATGCCGAGGGCGGCCTGCATGAGGACGAGGTGGACGGTGCCGAGGACGCCCTTCTTAACATTGGCGGGAAGGGCGGCGGCGACGCGGCGGGTGCGGGAGTAGGCGAAGAGTGAGAGGATGGAGCAGAGGGTGGTCATGGCAAGGATGCGGTGGTCGAGCTGGACGGTGCTAGGGTTCTCGAGCATGTTGCGCCACCAGAGGTCGGAGCCGTCCTCCTTGCGGGAGTAGAACTTGTCCCAGAGCTCGCCCGAAGGCGGGGTCAGGCCGAGGCCCATGTAGGGGAACTCGTTGTAGATGAGGCCTGCGTCGAGGCCGGCGACGAGGGCGCCGGACATGGCGGTGGTGAAGACGAGGGCGACGAGGGCGAAGGAGAGGCGGCGGAAGGTCTTGATGGCCGGGTTGCGGAGGGCGGCGAGGGCCTTGTTGGCGGCGGCGGGGTCGGCGAGCAGGCGGCGGGTGCGGAAGACGGTGAGGGCGGACAGGAGCATCCAGGAGTAGCAGACGAAGGCCGTGGCGAGGTGGGCGGTCAGGCGGTACTGGGAGACGCGCGGGTGGGAGCCGGGGGCGAAGAGGTCGTCCTTGAGGCCGGATTTCACCATCCACCAGCCGATGAAGCCCTGGAAGGCGATGAGGCAGGAGATGCCGCAGAGGTTGACGGCCATCTTGGGGGTGACGCGGCGGCGGGCGATGAAGTAGAGGGTGGGCAGGACAAAGGACATTCCGATGAAGCGGCCCCAGAGGCGGTGGGACCACTCCATGAAGTAAATCTTTTTGAACTCGGCCAGGTCCATGTGCGGGTTGAGGAGCTTGAACTCGGGGGAGGCGCGGTACTTTTCGAACTCGGATTCCCAGTCTTCCTGGTTCATCGGGGGCATGGAGCCGGTTACGGGACGC